TGTTTTCTCATTATGTGCTCAAAGTACGACAGGAAACATTTTGCCTACATTTGCCACTTATTTGTCACAGATACAGGGTATCTGTGAATTTCTCCTCAAGCATCACATTTCAATCAATTTTTTTCTGTCAGTTTTCTTTACTGTCTAGCTGTCACAGCCAGAGATGATTATTGGAAATACAGTGGTGCCTCGCTAGACGATTGCCTTGCGGGACGAAAAACCCACAGGATGATTGTTTTTTGCGATCACTTTGGTGCCTTGCAAGACGTTTTTTTCTATGACCGTGCTTTGCAAGACTTTTTTTTAGACCAATGCTTTGCAATACCTTTTTTTTTTTTGAGACCGATGCATAGGGAACCTCGCAAGACTATTTTTTCACAAGACGATGATTTTTGCGGAATGAATTAAAATCGTCTTGTGAGGCACCACTGTACAAGAGTGTGGGTGATCTTGGCCTTAGTCTCCAGTGACATAGCCTTACACTTGGTTATCTTTTCTAGTTCCTTCATTGCTGTCCCTCCTAGTCCCAGTCTTCTGATTTCTTGGCTGCAATCTCTATTTGGATTGACGATTGAACCAAGGTATATAAAATCTGACTATTTCAATTTCTTCGTTGTCAGAGTTAAAATTGTGTAGCTCTCCTGTAGTAATGATGTTTGTCTTCTCGACATTCAGTTGCAGTCCTGCTTTGGCACTTTCTTCTTTCACATTCCTTGACCGTCATTTTAAGTCATTGCTGCTTTCTGCCAGTAAGATGGTGTCATAGGGCTATCTTAAATTGTTGATGGTTTTTCCACCAACTTTCACCCTTCCTTCATCTGAAGGAGCTCTATTAGGGTTGTTATAAGTCGGTTTCATCTTGACACCACAGAACACGCACATATACACACACTGTCCTGGAAACTTACCTTTTCAAGCAGGTTATTGGCTTCTGAGTAAAGGTTTTCATAAGACCACATGCACACACAGTTGTGCTGTGGATAGTGCTATCTTACAAAAAGACAACTGGCGAAATCGTTTCATGGAAGAAATTGCTAGAGATCTCCTGCATATCTTTAATTACTACTTGAATGTGATGGAAGATAAATCATGAATTAAAAATGCTCCATCTGAGGGACCACAACAACAGGAAAACTTTGTGTAATTGGATTCTGTTCTTTGAAAGTTGTGCAGACTGAAGCTCTGTGCAGTTTCACATCCATGTGATTGGAGACAGTATTTCAAGAAACACCAGGGTTTTTTATTTACAAGGGCTGATAGGAGATGAGCTACGACCTTTTGAATGATGTTTAATTAAGGCGATGCTGAACTATTAAATGCAAATTACCTACTTTAAATACATATGAAAAATATAAATAACATAGTTCAAAGGCCCATTCAGGACACATGAACTCTATGTCATTCCGTTTGTTCACAAAGAAAAAGAATATGGAAGTGGCCAGTGGAGTGAGTGAGTGATAGAACACTTATTTTGGTTTGTAATAACCATCTGAAATAAATTCTTGACATGAGTTATTCATCTAATGACAACAGATGGGGCATTGTAGAAAATGTCAGCCATGATTTTGGGATTTGACTCAGAAATAATCACAGATTTGGGAGCATCGTTCACATCGAAGCTCATGAAACGCTTATGGCAAATCTGTGGAATTAAGCACAAGGAAACTACTGCCTATCATCTTGAAAGTAATGGGTTAACTGAGAAGTTCAATGGGACTCTAATGTGCATGATTAGGGCTTACTTGGCAGAGAATCCAAACAATTGGGACCAGAAGCTGCAATCCCTTTTGTTTGCTTATCGATCAGTGCCACAAGCCAGTACAGGGTTCAGTCCATTTGAACTTTTATTTGGGAAAAGGGTGAAAGGGCCCCTTGATTTGATCAAGCAAGATTGGGAGCAGATCACCCAGGATGACCCACAGGACGTTGTGACATATATAGACTCTTTAAGGAAGGACCTAAAGAGAAACCTAGAGCTAGCAGCAGAGACCCTGCAAGCTCAAAAGGTCAGAAAGAAAGCTTGGGATGACCAGAACGCCAGGGAGAGGCACTTTGACCCAGGGGAGGGAGTGCTTTGGCCCAGGCCCTGCAAAGAGAACAAACTGCAGCTGGGTAGCCCAGAAGTAAAGTGCTTGGGTCACATGGTAGGGGGAGGAGTGATAAAACCCCTAGAGGCCAAAATAGAAGCTGTTCGTGATTGGCCCAGACCCAACACCAAGAAAAAAGTCAAATCATTTCTTGGGTTGGTGGGCTACTACAGAAAGTTCATCCCGAGGTTTAGCGAGATTGCGGCTCCGCTGACCGATCTGACGAGGAAGAAGACTGACGACCGCATCCCGTGGACCAGCGACTGTGAGGAGGCGTTCCAGAGGTTGAAGCAGGCGCTAATCAACTATCCAGTACTGCGTGCTCCAGACTTCGACCGGGAGTTCATCATCTACACCGATGCGTCTAACAGCGGGGTAGGAGCAGTTCTTTGCCAGGAGGATGAGAATGGTGACCAGCATCCAGTGCCCTACCTGAGTAGGAAGGCAACCGTGGAGAAGGAGTGTTTGGCCATAGTCTACGCGATCCAGAAGGCCAAGCCTTACATCTGGGGAAGACATTTTATTCTGTGTACTGACCATTCACCATTGCAATGGTTAAAGACAATGAAAACCCACAATAGCAAACTTATGAGGTGGGCTTTAAACCTACAGGACTATGACTTTGAAGTGAAGGTGGTCAGAGGGTCAGTGAACTGTGTTGCTGACGCCTTGTCAAGAAGACCTGAAGAATGAAGACGGCGAAAGAAACATGGACTATGTGTATATATTGATGACAAAAAGTTAAATGTACCTGTTTTTTGAACTTGGTTTGTATGAATAAAGGTAAATTGATGTAATGTATATGGTAAATGTTTAAATGCCTAATTGCTATGGTTAACTTAGAATGTAAGTATAAGTAAGTATGATATGGTATGTATAACTGTTGTTGTGTGTTTTATCCAGGTTGTTTTTCTGGGAAAAAGCACCTTAGCTTTCCCCCTAAAAAACAACTTATAAAGAGGGGAGGTGTTACATACAGCACTGATGTTACCTGTCTGTCATGGGTTTGGAGGGAAAGTTCCATCCTATGGGGAGTGGAAGGCGGGACATCAGGAGGAGGGGCTGTACTGTATATATATGTGATGCGTGTGTGGAGAAGAGAGACGCTGGGATGTGACGAAGCATCAGCTGGGAAGAAGAAGCTGGTGTGGGAGTCTGTGTGTCAGACAGGGTACTACTGTGTGTCAGAGTACCAACCTGATAGGTTCAGGTGTCTGTTGGTTAGCCAGAACTGATAGGTTCATAGTTATAGAAATGATCTCTGTTTTTTCATTAAGATGCTCTCATATTTTCACTTACTATTCATAGGGTGTTACAGAATAATCTTCAGTAGAGGAGGTTTTTGTAAATTGCTTAGAAATTGTTTACACCAACAGCTCTATTGGAAAACGGCAGAATGTCATATAGGTGGTGGTAGTGTAAGATATGGATGAAAGAATGTAGCATTATTTCCAAGTTCTCACAACTATAGTTTCTTTGAAACTCAAAGTTTAAGTCCCCCCAAGTCAAGAGAGAAAATGTCCAAGGTAAATGAGGAGAGAAAAGAGTGCAGAGAAGTAGCCATCCATTTAACTCACAGCATTATCAGGTGCCACCAGGGTAGTTCTCTAGCCTCCTGAGACACTGATGGTTGCATAAAGGGGAGGAAAATGTACTCTGCTTTCTAGCCCCAAATGAGTGACTGATAGAACACCTAACAACTAGAGAAAAGGACTACAGTGGGACCTCCCTATCTGTGAGATCAGTATCCGCTGATTCATTTATCCACTGGCTGAAAATACAGTGGTGCCTCGCTTAACGATTTTAATTGGTGCCAAAAAAAACATCGCTATGGGAAAACATCGCTAAGCGAAACACATTTTCCCATAGAAATGCATTGAAAACCGGATAATCCATTCCAATGGGAATGGATTGCCGTCCTTAAGCGAAAATCGCCATAGGAAACATCGCTAAGTGAAACGCGGTTCCCTAACTGAAATGCATTGAAACCTATTCAATGCATTTCAATGGGGGGGGGAAATTACAACAAATTTAAAAAGAGTCAGAACAAAGTCAAATTAGTTTAACAAAGGGTTTATTAAGTGCACTTATGATTTCAAGCATTCTAAACATTTTTTAAACATTCTTAAACATTTAAAAAACAGCTAACACAAGGCTGTCAAAATCATCGTTAAGCGACCCAAACTGTCATCGCTATGCGAAGCAAGGTCCCAAACATCACTATGCGAAAATCACCCATAGGAAACATCATTAAATGGAGCGCAAAATCGCTCCGAAAAAAATCATCGCTAAGCGATTACATCGTTAAACGAAGCAATCGCTAAGCGAGGCACCACTGTACTAAATAAAAATGCCCAGAAATACCTATTTATATTTATTTATTTCCAGGGTGTATTTATTAGAAGAGGCAACTAGAGGGAGCCAAAGGCTGTGTGCAGTGTATAGTATTTAATGATTCCTCATTTTTCAGCATGCATGGGGGGGGCTTTGAACCAATTCCCCACAGATACCATGATCCTACTGTATTTCCTTCTCCTGGCAGTTAACCCTGTATTTCCACAATATGGATTTTGGAATTCCCTTCATTTTTTGTGTGTTTCTTTAAATTTTTGCTTTCATTCAAGATAACTTTGGTGGTAAGCTTTGGGCACAAATGTTTTATGTGCGTGTGCATGTGCGTATGCGTCTCTCTCTCTCTCTCTCTCTCTCTCTCACTCTGTGTGTGTGTGTGTGTGTGTGTATGTGTGTGTGTGTGTGTGTGTGTGTCAGAGAGAGAGAGAAAGAGAGAGAGAGAGACCTACCAAGTGTATTTGAATTATCTAGGCTCTTGTATATATCTTTTAACATCCTGTTTAACCTTTGCTGCTTGTGTGAAAATAGGTGGACTAAGTAACCCTGTCTTTTCTGTTGCAGGGAATGACTTTCACATTTCAGCTTATTTTGTCAAAAGATGGGTCAACTTGCGATGTATTGGGAGACAGCAGGACAGTGGTAAGAAACCTTTTAGCTTTTGTTTAGCATTGTAAAGAAATCAGAAGAAGGCAAGAGAAGTTGTTTCTATTATAGCTCTGGTCCCTTGGTCTCATTGGACAGAAAATATGTGACACAGAAAGACCTCCCTGTCCTATTACAACTTTTCCCCTAGTGGTGATGCCTTCTCTAGTGTCCCTAACATTTATTTATGTATCTAATAATCTTGTGGATGTATATCACACGTTTCAACTATAGTGCCCTGGCATGTCCAGATACTTGAGTGGGGAAAAAAGTCAACTGCTGTGAGGTTTTTGTTTGTTTCTACACAAGAGCAAAAAGACCATTTTGAAAAACATTTTAAAAAACAGCAGTGGTGTTAGCAAGAGGTATTTAGTTTCTGTGTTTAAAAAAAACTTGGTATTTCACGCAAAACCATTTTATTTTGCATTTTAAAAACTTTTGTGTAAAATGCAAGAGTTTTAAGGAAATACTAAAATTTTGTCACGAAAATACAAGACATTGGTGTAAACAAAATTCTATGAAAAAAATGCTGGAATACAGGATCATATATCACGCAGAGAAAAACTGAAAATTTTTGTTTTCACCTGCAAGAATAGTATAAGCAATGATTGATATCCCTGCTTGGGCCCTACCTTCAGTTAGGGGATTAAGGGCTGCTGATCGTGTGGGTTTAGAATTTATTGTAAGCTACCTTGAGAATCATCCAACAGAAGGATATGATATAAATCTTCTAAATAGATAGATATCTTTATTATGTATAGGATGGAATGAAAATCTCATGAAGAGCAGCAATTGGTGTATAGTCCTTCCTTCCTTCCTTCCTTCCTTCCTTCCTTCCTTCCTTCCTTTCTTCCTTCCTTACAC